AGAGTGTTGGGCATGGGCAATGCGAGATCAAAAAGTTCTCGTAGTCATCCATGCTGTCTTCCACCTCCCTTTGTGGGGATTGGAGGCATAGAGCCAAAAATTTGGCTTATGAGCGCTGTTTGAAGATGCAATTCACCGCGGCTCTCTTGATGCGCCCGCAGTCAAACCACAACGTTCACGCTCAAACTGAAATTGTATACATACTTATCCCCCGGGTGGTTTACTGCAGGCCTTTAGCTTTACCCGCGTGAGCTCGGGAGTTCGGGTATCCCGAATCGGTGTTGGACCACTCTCGAAGAAACGTTTGGCTTGTCTGCGCTTCTTGACCGTCACAACTCAAATTCTGTACATATCGATTTGAACATCCTCATCAAGCAACCCTCCACAATACGCACATCCTGTCACCTTTTTTTACCTTCTGAATCACGCGGGTGAAGTAATACACACGGGCGGGCCGTAAGTTTGAAGTTCTTCTTATGCCAACTCAGTGTCCCTCACCTTTGCTAATTAACACGCTTTATTTATTTTTTTGGTCCAGGCCTTTCAAAATCCAGTTCTGTACATACTCGCCTCTCTCATCCCAGCATATTCGAACTAAAATAACCATGGAGCCCCCAATCGCTCTTGACGTCCCAAATGAATCGGACCGGATCCCAACAACTAAGCGGTATTGGAAAGAGTCAAATGGACTCCTGTGCTCGATTTGCCTCGAACCAGATCACCAAGCACGAAACTGTAGTCATCAACTGGTTAGCTTTCGCCGTCAAATTTTCTTTTCAAATTGACTCAAGCTTCATCCTGACATTTGCATTCTGCTCCTAGTGTTTAACCTGCGGTGCCATCGATGAGCACATCACTCGACAATGTCCGGTTAGCCTGGTGTGTCATAGCTGCGGTAGTCGAGGTCATCTAGCTCGGGTACGGATCATCGTCTTATAAATAAATTCCTACTCATTGCATCTTGCTCAACTTTGAGATCTCCCCGTGTAGCATTGTCCGTCTTCTTCTAGGGCCTCCGGAACGCACTGTGCACGTTGTGGCTCGAGCATTCATCTCACCCTGGTCAGTACCTCCTTCAATTTCATCATCCTGATCAACGCTGACACGTATAAGTGATTGTGTATGTAGAACTGCCCGTCTATATGGAGGGACTACGAGGAGGAACCTAATGACAAACCTAAGCGAGTCATGCGCGCATGTTATGTGTGTAAGAATTAGATCTCTACGCTTTCTCGTTATGACGACTCACGCCCATTACATTTTTTGATATAAAAGTACTGTGGCAATACTGGCTATCACTTCGGAGACGAATGCCCTTTTCGGAGATCGACTCTCCAAACAGAGCCGTCTGCTTTTTCGGATCGCTCACTCCCGACACGAGACAGACATTTGTCACGCCATCCCCAATCTCGTGGGCCTGGCAGAGACTCTCCGCGCCACAACGACCACGACCGACAGTACGACGGAGGCAGGCAGGATAGCTACAGGCCACCTGATCCCCCATCAAGTCGCAAGAAAGCCCCTCGACCAGGACGGAGGGACAGAGCCGCCTACGCGCGACCGGTCGACGTCGACGATGAAGATGATTGGTTTTCAAAAAGACACCGGAGGCAGAGCCCTAAAAAGTCTGAAACTCATCCTAGACCAAGTGGATCCAACTCAATCAGGGTTGGTGGCTCCTACAAAGGAGGTTACATCAAATAATCTTGCCAACTCGATGCGATCGTTTAGATCAATCATATACATCATGGTCCCTCTCTACCGCGGACCATGCCTAAAATCCCACTTTCACAATGGGCCAGTCAATCGTGACAGCCTGACAGATCTGATAACCGACGCCCCTTCCTCCTTGAGCACAAGAAAAAAAAAAAGAAAAATCAGATAAAAAAACTTGAGCCAACTCAAGCTCTTCCAAAGTGGAGCAACAAAGAAAAAGAGAACGCTTCTACCAATATTGGAGATGCTGATAAGAAAGTGCCAAGAATGAGCCACGTCGATTAGTCGATGTCGTTGAGCACACACTTGCAGAGCACGATCGCAGCTGGATGTCTCATTTCACACGTAGTATATGGACCCTCCAGAAGGTCCAGAAACTGCGAAGGGCCAACCATACTTCTGGGAACACTTTCTTTGGGGTAGCAGAACTTCTGCATGCCTTGGTGGCTCTGATTTTCTGTCTCCCCTCCCGGGAACTATTAAGAAGAACAGCCATGGCCATTCAAGCGATGAGGTTTTTGCAGGATCCATGGTCCGTCTTTTGGCCGGATTCCACACTGTGTCTTGTCATGAGGGAGGGCCACGGCTCGATCTGAGTGCCGGACGGCAAACATACGTTGGCTGATCCTGCCTTTTTAGTAAGTGGACCCTGGTTTTACTGCAATGAGATTTCGTAGAGACATCTGTGCAAGACGCACCTAATCTAAACACACGCTCCACCTCAGCTTCCACTTGGTTTTCTCCAGCCAAGTCAAATTGGAGATAGATGCTGAATGGAGCAAGTCAACTGGCAGCAGTTGCGCTCCGATCTGTTGTGGTGTAGGATACAAAGCAGATGAATACATATACATTTTTTAACAGGATTTTATTGTGCGGTTATGTAAATAATAGAATCCAATGTGGATGGTTTGGTATTACACTGATGAATAATTTGATATGAATGGTGCATGGAGGGGCAGGCCAGTCACGGGATGTGCCGAGAACCACTCTCAACTCGACTCTTGGCGGTCAACACGGAACCAGGGATAACAAGATGAGATTCCGGGCTCATTTGGCCAATGTCGCGACGTTCACCAGTAAGTCAAGTGGGCATCTCGATCCCAGTCGACCTAGCTATCTTCTGATTAAACTGACGAAGTGGATTCCCCGATCTTCCTTTCTACGCAATCTGTAGAGTTAATCGATTCAGTAAACAAGCTTGCACGTAGGGCCGTCTTCACCTTCACTCCAGAGGAGATCAGGCTGGTTTCGACTGGGGATGACGAGGATGGCTTGCGGCTCCACGGGTAATTGTCCTTGCTAATAACCAGCTGAGATGTCGCTGGGAGCTCTGATGGTGGGACTTTCTCGTTAGATAGGGCCATCAAAGTCGTAAGCATATGTCATCTCAACACGTCTTGCGCCCGTGGCCACTCATCAATACCTCGTTCACTTCCCGCTGGAATCTATGGCTGGCCGTTTAGGTCGATCTATTTGGCTCTAACTATCACGTCGAGTCAAATCATCACAACATCATCCCGCTCGAATTCTCTACTCAAGCACTCGCAAGCGCCGTTCGTCAGACTTCGAGTTCTCCCACTGAGATCGTCTTTCGATTAGGACGCCTGGGGAGGACACCATACTTGAGCTTGACAGCTAAAACGGTTGTACGTCAACTCATTCTTTGATTATTGGGAATGTATTTTCTCTTTTGGTTCTCATTCGGGTGTATGGGCTTGTAGGGACGAAGTGGTACAGAATACCAAGTCGAGCAGCGAGTGGCCGTGAGGGTCGTGAAGCCTGAGGAGGCTGAGCTCCTTCCAAAACCATGCTCTCCCACTCCTGATGTGAGGCGTCAAACTCGGAAGACTATTCACAACTGGCTGCTTATCTGTCATTCGCTACATAGGTCTTCCTCTGCCTCCCAAAAATCAGCGATATCTGTAAAGTTGCCGAACGATTGAAGAGCCTCTCAGATCTCATCACAGTCTCTGCTAGCCGTAACGGCGGATTTCGACTAGGGATCAGTACCGAACACGCTCGAGTTGAAACTGAATGGCGAGGCTTGACCCCCTTCCACAATCGGTTCAGTCAAGCAACACAAGATTGTAAGACCGACTTGATTGTGTTGTTAATGTTCAAGAAGACGAACTCACATCGCGTGCCTACTACAGCACAAGGGACACTAAGGTCAACGTCCGCATTTTTTGAGGCTACTGTCAAGTCTCGGGCATTTTTAAGATTTCTGCATGCCCATATCGGCGATGTCTCACTGGCATGTTGAGTTACTTCGGTTTCCTCATTATTCAGTTCATAACCCGTCAACTGAACCGACTGTTTAACCCAGCCATTTGCGAAGGCTATTGTCTTACTTTGTTCAATTATATCGGCGATACTTCCCAGTTGATTGAAACCGAGAATGACGAAAGAACGTCGGGTTCACTATTTGCCGTGTTGTCCATTGTGAACGAAGATGGGGATACCTAGAGGTCGAGCCCAATGCTGGTTTTGATTGTAAATTACTCAAAAATAACCAAAACCATCCAGTCGATCGTCAAGAAAAAAAAAAAAAAACAAGTTTAACTACTAGTTCCCAGCCATTTGAAAATAAGGGTCACGCCGTAGCTTTGCCCAGGAGTTTAATTCAGAAACCACCAATTCAGCAGTCAAAGTTGTTTGGTGGTGGTTAATCATCAGACCCACCAAATCGGTATTTGGCAATACCACTTGACAGACCCAATTAATTTTGGGTCACAACAAACGCGCTGCAAAGAAATACAAGTGCCATTAAGTCACTAGGAAAAACTTGATCTCAAGAAGACAAAAACAGATAATTAATACAGCTGGATTGTACTCACTCTTGGCCCTGTAGGTGATGTCAATGTGGAACAGTCACATGAGTGAAGACTCGGCCTCAGGGTGCCCATGGCTGCTAACACCGTGAAGGTCGTGAGCTCAATCATTGCCTGCAGTCAAGTCCAAGCTCTTTTTGATCTTGGATTGGCGTCATTGGTTCTCGAGACCTTGTTCCCCACTGGCGACATTTGCTTGTTCCACCCGGCTTCTTGGGTTGTTCAGACCAGAGAAAGAAGAGCAGCCAGGTCCTAAGGACAGAACTTGGATCACAGCAGCCTGCCCAACACTGGCTGAGCAGAGCCCCCCCCCCCCCCCAGAAACCACGGGTTCCGTTGGACAATTAACCAACTCGTCAGGTGACGGTAAGCTAACAGGCCTCTGTGAAATAGCGGCCGAAACGGTGAGTGTTAAGAAGCCCACAGCAGCCCCCCCCAAAGGATGGAGGTTTTGCCCGTCAATTATGGTGGATCCATTGCGGGCCGATCCCAGGCGGCCGGTTAAATGTCGTACTTCGGTCGGCTCATCATCGGAAGATAGCCAAAGGCCAACTCGGAGCCAGACCCCCTCAACTTTGCTCTAGCCCACACGGCACCCGAAAAACAATTCTGATCCAGCGGTGTACCGCCGATCATAGGCCAGTCTGACCTGGTGGCCTACCTCCTGTTGCCATCAGGGCGCCAAGGCTTCATTCTATGGCACGGGCACGGCTGCCGTTTGCCAATTCTGCAAGTGCACCCGTGGTGCAGCCACTCGAGTGCGCATGGACTGTGGGCATCAAAGCCTGTCCACAGTACCTTGCAAGGCTACTACCACTTAGCATTCATTCATTGACACACCGAGGTGTGTTTTATGATCAAGTTCCTATTAATGACAAAGGCTAGCGGGCTGGTGGTAGTATCTGACTGATGGGGCCTCGAATGAACACATCTACTCAGGTGGAACATATAAGAGGTTAACCTCTCAAAGTATCTATCTTTCTCAATCATAATTAACTTATCGTCCTTTCTGTCTATTTCCCGGAGATCTCCCCACTCTTTATTTCTGCTATAAACTCTAGCAACAACTATCTTTCCATCGATATACCAGCGTAAGCTCAAGGGAGACATCTTTCGAGCCTACCGATCTGTTCATTGTTTGATTCCAGAAATCAACTCAATCTGTCTTCGAAAAAAACGGACGACAAATAATAAAAAAATATATACCACTCAGCTCCTTATCACCAGCATCATCCGGCCACCAGCTCCCATTATCGCAGAAAAAAAAATGAAGACCCTTATATTTTTTTTGCTGGCCTCTCATGCAACAACAATTGCTCAAGTGGCCATACAACTGCTTCCCAAGGCCAGTCCTCCGGGTCCCATCAAAAGATATCAGCCGCGCTCGCGAAGCATTGAGAATGTGGTGGATTGGTCTCAACTGAGGAGTACCGCCAGACGAGCTACCGAAAGATACGGCCGGAACGACCCACAAACGCTGCTCGCGAAGCCCGCCGATTCCCGGCGATGGATAGCGACGACCAGTCTGCCCGACACCCTGAGAAGAGTCGCCGATAGCCCTGACCACGAAACCCAGAAGAATCTGAAGAATGGACGCCTGCCTGCGAACTTGGTCAGCAGTAAGTTCCGCACGGCCAGCACTCACATCGAGCAATTCCCGACAAGCGATGTGATCGGAAAGGACCCAGGCGACCTCTCCAAGGGAGCCGCGTTCGCTAAGCTGGGGATGCTCAAAGGATCCCGATATATCCGCCTCCGGGTAGCTTCTTCGTCCTCCAAACTTCACTCACGAACGCGTCTAGCCCAGGCCAAGAATTCGACAGCTCCTCATGAAGATCCCCATGTTGCACCAACATCGAAACATTCACGTCATTTCAAATCTCATCAGAAACTTGCCTCGAAGATCCGCACCGCTTCAGCGCAGCGTTCGGCATACCCTTCATCCGAGCTCAGTGGTACTATCCTTCGTGACAGCGTGTCGGGCGCAGGTGATATCGAGTTTTATGGTCAGATAGAAGTGGGTACACCCCCACAGGCGTTCATGATCGACTTTGATACGGGCTCCTCAGATATGGTAAATTCCAGCCTCTTTTGATTCACGATGAAATAATCTATCTGACTTTTTTCTTTTTTGCTTGACTATTGATTCACTTTGATTTTTTTTCATCGCGGGGACTACATAATGGCGGCGGGTGACGACACAGTGGATTAAAGACAAGACGTGCAAGAAGAATTGCGGGCGCGACTCTACACACAAGCATGCATTTTACGACTCCGAGAAGTCCTCAACCTCGAAGGATTTGGCCTCGCCGTTCCAAATATCGTATGGGGTGGGCGGAGTGAGTGGGGCGTTGTTCGAGGATACGGTGTCTGTTTCCGGCTACAATGTCTTCCAACAAGCGTTCGGCGTCTGTGATGTGCTCTCGGAGGATTGGCCTAATGATCCGGCCGACGGTGTCCTCGGCTTAGGTTAGTCTGGCCCGTCGTCGTATCTTCTTAATCAAATCAAGCCCGCTGGCTGATGCGGTCATTCATTCCGTAGCTTTTGAGTCGATCGCTACTAGCCATAAGAAACCTTGGTTTTACAACGCTATTTCACAAAACCAAAAGCTCAACAACACTCTTGAATCGGAGATGTTTTCTTTTGCTATGGGAAGGTCAGCCATGCTTTTTTTTTTTTTTTTCACGGGTAAAGATTCGAGGGTAGATATATATTTGCGTCTGGCTGATTGTTGCGGATGTGTTCATCCTTCATTTTTTTATGGGGGAAATCCAGATATGCCACCCAATCTCACCACAAGTCGGAGCTATTCTTAGGGGGCCAAAACGCGGAGAAATACCATGGCGATTTCCAATGGATCCCATTAACGTCGAAGACCTACTGGCAAGTCGAGCTCGTGAATGTGTATTGCAACAACGGCGAGGACGAGAAGTACCGGGTGGAGATACCCAGTACGGCGGCGATCATCGATAGTGGGACGACATACATCGCTGCTCCCGCCGAGCAAGCCCGGATCTTTTGGGAGAATATCCCTAACTCGCAGACCAAATCGGGCGACGGATTCTACACTTTCCCGTGCTCTCAGAGCGTCAAGATGGTCTTCGATTTCGGGAATGGCATCGAACTCGGCGTCAATGAATTGGACTTGAACGTGAGCTCAACTTACCGATCGTTGTTCTCCGTCTTTCCTTCGGACTCACGCGGTCCTTCTATACAACTCTTTTTTTTTATAGCTGGGCAAAGTTTCCCCCGGAAGTGATCGCTGTGTGGGCGCGGTTTTCGGAAGTCAGACGGGTGGTAACTGGATCCTAGGTGCCCATTTCTTGCCGCTCTCATCCTCACCATCGTTCCATGTTAAGTTTTCCTGACATGAATCCCAACCATTCTCCACTTCCTCAGGAATCTCCTTCATGAAAAGCTACTACACCACCTTCGATGTGAGATTTCCAAGGTTTTCTCAGAGACTGACTTGCCGCATTGCCTGTTTTTATGTATGAACTAACTTTCTATATGTCTGCTTTCACAGTTTGGCTCCTCAGAGACTGACTTGCCGCATTGCCTGTTTTTATGCTTGAACTAACTTTCTATATTTCTGCTTTGCCAGTTTGGCTCCTCTCGTCTTGGGTTCGCAAACCGTCTTACCACTGATCGCTGTCGTACCATTTTATCGATACTTCAACCATAATACTTTCTATTTTTTTTTTCTCATTCGTTCAACTTCCATATCACTTTAATAATCCTTTAATATCCTAATTTTTTTATGAAGCCTTTTAATCATTAGCATCCGCAGATACCAAAACAAATGACACACGTCTTGTTCTCTTTGTATTTGAATACATATGTGTACTTTTTTTTTGTCATTGTTATGTAGCTTTTCTTTTTTTGTTGTACAACATCCAAGAAAACATCATTTTCTTTCTTCTTCTTCAAAACTGATTATCTGCATTGTCCCTCCCCTCCTCCTTCAAAAAAAAAAAAAAAAAAAAAAAAAAACTGAGAATGGACGAGACATACAAAACTCAAGACAATTCAGCGGACAAAATAAGAGTGCACTTTGTTAAAAAAATGTGTTAAATTCTGGTCAGTTGCAGCAGAGCAAATGATGATGATACGACATATGTATATTTCTGAAAATAATCATATAAAAGAGCGAGTGGAGATTTGATTTTTTTTGGTTTTTTCAAGGAGAAAAGGAGTCAATAGACAATAGGATTCGACTTGGATAGAAGGATTGGGATTAACTAGCAAACGCTGGTCTCAGTCACAAGCCCGTTATAGTTATATATATAGTGAAACTAACGATTGAGGATAAAGACGGGTGGAGATCTGCTGGAGTGGATAAGTAAACGAGGGAGAGGAGATAGATAGAATATGTGAAGATTGCTTTTAATGCTGACTTTGATAAGGGAAAAAAAGGGACAGTGTAAGCTGGATGAAGAAGGAAGGGCGCTGAGGTCGGGCAGAGAAAAAAAGAAGGCATTCAATTGGATTTGTGATGGGATTGGGGTATATCGATGGGTAAAACAGAGGTGATTGAGATCGATCTTTCGTCTTCATCATCCTCACTCTCGTCGCCCAGATCATCGGCCCGAGAAGCCTTCCTACGCTCGCAGGCTTTGAGCGAACGGTGACTCTCCGGAAGAGTGGCAGACGATCTGATGAACGTGGAGAGCGTTTGAGTCGAGCTGAACGGAGACATGGTGAAGATCAATTGTTCGCGATCTCCTGGCGACGGGTTTGAATTGGATTGTTGTTCAGGTGTACTCATGATCGGTCTTAATGTCCAAGGGTTGTTGTTGACGCTGAAGGAGGCTTTGCGCGTTCTGCCGCAGTTTTCTCTTGCCATTTGGTGGCTGGACTGATGATGATGATGATGATCTGGGTTTCTTGTTGTGGTGATTGTTATATGTCGGTTGATGCGTCGCTCATAATCGTGAGATTGGATGTTGGTGAAGGTGGTGGTCGAGTTCGAAGACAGGTGCGACAACTCCGGCTGCTGAGTGGTGATTCGCTTGGCAAGTTTGCCTTGCTTGGGCCTAATCAGAGCTGAATGAAATCCATCCATCAAGTTAGAATTAGTTACAAAACTTGGAAGGGGCAGGCACGATGAAGTAAAACAACATCCAGTTGAAAGGCTCAAACATGATTATTATAAGGAAGTAATTGGCGAAAAGAAGAACAGTCTTACCATCGTAGGTTAATCCGACGAAAAAGCCATTGCCAACCAAGCGAAAGGCTTGAGGCTCGGGACTGATTGAGATGGCTTGTTTGAATTGATGATAATCAGATTCAAAGCGCTCTTGGGGGAAGGTGCGCTTGCCGATAGGAGAGTCGAGCTGGTTGATAGTGTTATTATAGCTAGGCTTTGAAAGTTTCGATTTCAGTAGCAAGTCGTCCTCGTTCTTCCGCTTTTTCCTCTGCATCACTCCGATTGTCCTGAGCGTGGTGATCACCGGCGAGATGGTGGTCTTTGTCTTGAGCGAGTTGATCACATAGTTCGACGAGCGTGATCTGATGAGAGTCGGGTAGAAGAGTCGATGGCATTGACAGTCTTTGGCCATTTCTTTTTTTTTTTTTTGTTTGACAACTGTAGTCACCGGCGGCTTGAATGATTGGGAGGGGAAGTGGGGAGCTATTCTATGTATGTAAAGAAGTGGTTAGAGAAACAGTGCAAGGAGGATAACACTTATAGGCAAGTTGTATAACTGTGAGCCAGTGGTCGAGCTGCTAGGTCACATGCAAGCTGTTTAGGAAGGAGATGAGAGGGAAGTATACATAATAAGGAGAATGGTTGGTTAGTAGCAGTTTGTTGTGTTTAGGTTGAGATGCACACAGATTGCACTCTCGGATGCTTGAAAATAGACGATATCGATTTTGGGATGGTTCATGAGAGGGGGAGCAGGGCGCGTGAAGTTTCGAGACCAAGGCAAGACAGGGTCAGGAATCAGGATGGGCAAATAATCTCCTTCTAGATCCATCGACCGCGACTCTCGACCCCTCCCCTGCACATATTTATGGAGTTGGACTGGAGAGAGTCTGCTGGCGAGAGTGAGTGTGTGTCTGATGGACACGTTCTTGGAATCATCCGATCTCCAAACGCAACCAACTGGCGAATGTTCTGTCCTTGGAGATTGAAAATCCTGGATGGATTGTCATAGGAGAGAGGTCGACTGACCTTATGCAATATCAACCAAAATATAGGGGCTAGTCCAATGAGCCTCTTCTACATAAGACATACTTCGACCATACCATACACAACCAATCAGATCAAAAGGGAAATTTATCTTCCGCTTAGCCTGTTGCCCCCCCCCCCTCTTGAGCTTAATTTTAAACTCCTGGCGCGCAAGGCTTTGATCAAAAAGATCCCCGATTGATTTCAGGGATTGCATGGGTATGTGTAAATTGTATGGATAGATTCCAGTCAGATATGATATGTTGTAAATATCTAATGAGAGCCCCAGTTTGGATCAAGTGAATGTGAATTTGCTTCGATCGGGGGGGAACATGATCTCATCCTAATTTTCTCGTTGATTGTCAAAGAGAAGGAGGCTTCCTTTGCTTAAGCAATTCAACTTGCCAAGTCACACTGCAAACTTGTGATGATGGATTTGCCAGGGAAGGCTGCCGCCCTGTCGGGGTGTGCAGATGGCCGGAATGGTTTAATTGGATAAACTGCAATGGTGGGGAGCCCAAGTCGGACGAGACAATGCTCACTATGAAGTGTGAGTATGTATCCAAGAAAGTCAAGTCAAGCCGATGAGAGCTGATGATGATGATGATGCAATCGATGACTCAAAAAACACATTTTAGGTATCAATGTGAAGCGCCCAGTGCTTGTGACCGGAAAGTGCCCAAGATGTACGTCCCTTGGCTGTCGTCTTCGATCATGGGCTGGTTAAAATTTAAACAGTTTTCAGAAACCCGATGGGACCGATTGAGGCTGGTACATCCTTGATAGATTGGATAGGGGGTCTGTGAGTATGGGGGGGAGGGAAAAAATTCACAGGAGTTGGAAAGAGGCTGAGCCGGATACATAGACTGCAAGAGATCCAGTGTGAAGGAAGTTTGCTGTGTGAAGGCCATACCAACAAGCTAAAGGGCTACTTTAACTCAAAGAGGCTATAAACTTTGGGCTTGACACAAGATTCGCCAATGGATTGCTTGGAATCTTGGATACACGATTCACGATTTTAAAGGCTGCCACATATCCACCAACTTGCCAAGTCGGCAAAAAAAACATGAATCGGATCAACAAAAAACATTTTGAACGTTGAAATATTCACTTCGGCCAGCCTACATAGTGAGCCAGCAGGTGGTTTTGCAGACCGATCTTATGTATAAAGGAATATCCGCCCGAGTTTACTTTAGCTGGATTAATCAGTGGATGGAAAAACTCCGACCCGAAGAAATGTCCTGATTATCCGTCGACACCCGAGCTTTATATTGGGCATCGGCCACCACTTCATTCCCAACAAACAAAGAACGGCAAGCAATTGTGATGATCAGGCCATGTCAATTCTCGAACCTCGAGCTCCCATGTGTTCCCCATTAAATTTGCCAATGTCTGTCAACGCAAATAGTACTATGAGAGCAACGGTGGTCCCTGTTTCCTCCCCTTGTTTTTAGACGAAATTGTATAAAGCAGCCGCCGGGAGAGTCGTCATTCCAAAAGTTTCTTACAGCGGACCGAATCGAAAATCGTTCGAGTGCCATTTGAATCACACGCCGTGACCAGTCTGAAACAGCCTTAGCTCCGTCGCCCATTGATCAACCGATGCGCCCATTCATAGCCATGATCCCCATCTTAGGAGGTCGTGACGGGTCATAGGTTGCATTTCCTCCCTGTGTATGTCGTCACACGCTCTCAACCTAAGTGACCGTTATGTGGTTTCAGTTCCGGCTTCCGTTGAAGACATTGGAGAGCGACATGACGTTTCTCCCATAATCATGCCAGACGCCGAGCCTGGATCTAACCCAACCCAATTTTGAGCAAAGCCTCCATGCAGCCGTCAGACGACATAATCAAGGTGTCCTTCACTTGTATCACCTCTTTGGACGCATTGGTACGGGTATAGGCTTTGAAGGAATTAGCTTCTTTAATCTTACAGCACCAAGGAAGGAACGGACTTGAAAACACGCTAGAATCTCTGTTGCATTCTATCCCCAAGCTCTTGAGGTTTGCAAAAAGCTTGCTGTTCTTCCTGCGATTCGGTCCTAACTTAACTAAGTGAAAGTCCCTCCAATTGTTAGGATTCGGTCGGTTTCTCAAAATTTTCCAAGCCGAAGGCTGGTTTTTTTCCCCTCATCTTGCCAAATCAGTCGTTGAGCTTGCCGCGGTTGATCAAAGCCCACCAGAAGACGCCGACCTGCATGACTCCTTTTTTTAGGATTGCTGGCGATTGATGATCAAGCCACTCGCCATTTGCCCTTTCCATCCCTCTTTGCCTGAGTTTGAGAATCATCTGGCTGTTATAACGGTCATGTCCTACATTACCAGATCTGAGGGTGCGATGGATAAAGCCAATTGGATGCTCACAAAATCTTGATCAATCAGATCAACTCATGGGACTCACAGTAGGACAGTTCACGTCTGAACTTTGAGGCAAATTTAATGACATTTATCATTAAAATTTTGCAAATTTATCAAAAATCACCAATTCCTCCAAACTTGATGGTTCATGAAATTTTACAAAATTCATGAAATTTTATCTTCAGGTGTGTTAAAAGTTGCCTTGGACTTCAGACGTGAACTGGCCTAGTGGATGACTTCCCTGCCCATCATAACCTAGATCCCTCCCAGAATCCAATTTACCCCCCCCCCCCCCTAGATCTTCATTTTTGGCCAAAATATTTTTTTTTCACAAGCCCTGTAGAAATAATTCTCATGCTAGATTGTTGAAATTATGATTAGTGTGTTAATTTAGGACTTTATAGGATGGCTTAGAAAGCACTGGGCAATGGGAAGTCCTCCAGTGTCTGATCTGTTTTAGTTAAAAAACTGTAAATCAACATGCAATGCAGTGCAATCAGTCAACAGCCTTCCACCTGATTAATGTTCATCGATAAAACTGTCCTTCTGAGTACACACATAACACCATGAAAGTTGGAATGTCACTTGTTAGCAAGTGGTATCAAGGAGGCTTTGGGGGGAGCCTTCACTGTGGTTTGGTTGAACCTTAATACATTTGCAAGTGTCCAAACCACCACACCAGCCCTTTGTGTACCAATACAGTATGCATGGGTGTTAGGTAAGGTTCACATCTAGTATGAACCAAGTTACACATGTAGCCTCTTGATGTCACTTGTCAGCAAGAAACACAACTTTTTTTTTCCCAAACAAGGCCAATAGTGACCAATTGATCAAAACATTACTTATCAAAGATGGTTACAGCCTAACCAAGTCTGTTACTTTTTTTTATAAAATGGAAAAATTTGATATCATGGACAACAGGATCTCAGCCAAAGTTCAGGACTTGAGAATCTTTCAAAATAGTGACAGGGGGTGGGGGGTGTCTGTTTATTGAAGATTGATACTTGAGTTTATTCACATCCCCGTTTTTCAGATGCTACATTTCATCCCTTCAGCAGTTGGAACAATTGGTACCAATTGGTGGCTCTCATATGGCCAAACTAACCATGCTGAAACAAATCAAACCAGAAAACCATTGATTATGAATTAAAAATATGTTGAACCTGTTCTTCTTGATCTCTCAGACAAGCTTGTATGGACTTGGTTTTATCTACTGCAGAGTCTGACATGGTGTATGGTGTCTCAGATTTGTAGTTTACCACCCATGGGACTTGGTTGTTTGTTCTTTGAGAAGCTTCAGCTTAACCAAAATGTGCCTTTTATTATGTTTATTTCTCTTGTGAATGATAAAACTAAAGTGTATTTCTGATAAGTGAATGAGGAATAGATAGAGAACATAATTGAAAGGAAAATAAAAGATTCTAACCTATAGGAAAACAAAAACAGTAACCGAAGAAGATACAATGAATATTCAAAACAGGATAGAAAGAGAAGAAGAAATGACTACAAGAATAAAGGTTAACAATTGTTATCTTTGATCACATGGAAATCAAATATTTAACCTACAATGACAGAATGGCCAAAGTGTTTCTTTTATAATCAACAAGGCTTTGAAAGCAAGGGAAACACTGTTAAATTGGCAGAGTAGCTGTTAAGAGGGGGATGTGCTGAAAGGCAACAGGCAATTTTCTTGAAGTGAGATAGATAATTGGGAAATCTGACAATAAGCTACATCAGTTGGAGGAGCCGGGGGTCTGATGAATGTAATTAAAAGAAAATGTAAGACCACTCAATGAGGGGTTAGATAAAAAAACTTTGAGATCCACAAGGAGGGAAAGAATCAAACAAGAGAAAAAGCAATGATTTTAAATATTTGATAGTCAATTGTATTTGAGTCTGGGCCAATGATGTCACGTGGTCCAAGTTTTAAGAAACTTTGGACCAATGACCAATGACTACATTTGAAGAAAGAATGGAAAAATGAAGGGGAACATAGCAAGTAGGTTTTGAGCTTAGAGGTAGAAGGGATTATACATTGAAATCTCTATCTTGACTTTTTATGTATTTCAACTTGAGTGGATCCCAATGGATCACATATTAATCTGAGCTATGCAATTGCACCAGGTGAGTGTTACCAGTGAGAAATAAAGCTTTTTACATATTTTGAAAAATCTATTCAAAGAGAAGGAAGTCTTGATTCCCAAAACCACTGTATTCTGTGAAGGCAATTTAACATTCAAAATTTATTTTCCAGCTGTCAATTCCCTCTTTTAGTGGGATTTTCTTCCATCATCATGAATAATTTGTGGACCTTGGAAAAACAAATCCCAAGGATTTGTCGACGATTACCAAATACCGTCATCAGACGTCCCTTAGGAGTCGTTCCTCCAAATGGATGGCCGACTTTGGGAGTTGGCCATCCATTTATATTTTGATTTTTTAATATTTTTTTTTTCAATTTTTTGAGAGTCAACTCCCCAAACCACCCCTCATGCTTGAGTGGATTTGGGAGTTGCTCCCACATGACCGGAAGGAAATCCTTCTGGTCAATGAGAAACAACAACCTCATAGACTGGAAAGGATTCCTTCTGGTTGATGAGGTATAACAACCTCATCAACTGGAAGGGATTC